TCTCGTCGAGGACGAGATGTCAACTCCTTCGGTCCGCCGAGGAAGCGATGCCACAGCTCCTTCGAGCTTCGACGGCACGGGCCTTTTCTGGAGCGCCCCAAAGATGGTGTATGGTAGGGCTTCTGTGCGTTTCCTAAGACCCGCCCTCCCACCGTACTATAGAGTCTAAATATGCATCCTCCCCCTGCCCCCAGACATGGTCGCGTCGTGAAAGAATCGGGAAGGGGCAAGGGAGGTCTTTAGCAATTTTCGGCCTTTGGGGGCCCTCGCTGGGCCTCGGAACCCCCACAAAACGACTCAGGATGAATAACTGGTCCCGGGGAAAGGGTCGGGACTTCCGGGGGCCCGTATGGAAAAAACCGGACGTCGCATGTCTGGGTCGTCCGGAGCCCTAGACCCCATCTTGCTTAGATCCGGATCCATGTGTGCTGGTCCCGGGGCCCGAATCCTTGCGAAAACGCCCCGGCAAAAAACGCAGCGCCTGGATGTCAGATCCTTCCCTTCCTCCTCCTCCTACTCCTCCTCCTCCTGCTCCTCCTTCTCCTGTCGCATGTCTGCGGAGGCTAAGTATGCATCCCCCCCTACCCGAGGCTCCCTAGACGCCCCGCCGCCTCTTCGGGGTGCATTTTCCGAGGCGCTCCAAGGCTTTCCAGGCGGTTGGGAGGCACAGGACGACCAAGGGATCCCGAGTGCACCTTTGACTGTAGAAGGTGCACTCGGAGTCCCTTAAGTGCACTTCGCCACATGGGCCACAGAAAGCGAAAACGTCAGCCAAGGAGCCTAACACCTAAGATCGGCAGGTGGCCAGAGCGGCAAAATGGAAAACGATTTCGGCAGACGGAGACACCTGAAATGCGTCGGGGCTCAAACCTGAGCTTCTATACTTTGACACGAAAGAGCAGGTCAGGAGACTCGCCAGGAAAGCCAGCACAGCGTGGGGAACATGCGGGAACCTGCTGGCCCAACAGCTTCTGCCCGTCTTGGCCCTCGGCCTGAGGCGGTTCCACGAGGGCCGCGGAGGGACCAGGCCACAGGCCAGCCCAACGCGGGCCTCAAGAAGCCGCCCAGGAGTGCCCAGGCGCTGCCTCAAGGGGGCCCCAAGACGGCCACGAGGGGCCCCAGGCACACTAATTTCCTAATTTATTTATTTATTTATTTATCTATTAAATATATACACACGCTATATATATATATATATATATACACTAATTGTATCGAATTCTTTGTACACTGTTTAAGATCGCGAATGATGTGACTGTGCTATGGATTGTATTTGCTATTGCAAAAATATCAAAACAATTCGAGGGCCCCGCCGTAGGCCCAAGAGGCTCCCGGGACGGCCCCGGAAGACTCCCGAGACGGCCGAGAGGCTCAAGACGGCACCGGTACGGCCTGGGGGAGCTCCAGGGCGACCCAAGGGGGCCCCGCAAGGGCTCCAGGCAGCCCCAGGGTGGTGTCGGGCCAGCACGCACGCGGGCCCCTCACGAGCGAGACGCGACGGGTGCACACATCACGGCCTTCTGGGCTGTCCTCGAAGCGTCGCCATGCAGAGTCAAGCGCTGGCACGGCGAAGGAACCTGCCGCAGGCAGCTGGACATGCTTTCGACCGCGGTGGGCGGCCATGCCACAAGTGCCAATCGCCAAGCACAGTTGGCAGGACTCCGTCCATGCAGTCGGAGCAGGACTACATCAACGCAGCAAGGTGGCAACGACAATTCTTCGATCCAGGAGTTGCCAACCACCCAACACTATGCCCATGCCTCTTTGGGAGGAGATGGAGGGGAGTCCCCTTTGGTAGCTCCAGGCGCTGACGCACTTCAGTCCTGCACTTTCGACTGGAAGCGCATCACAGGGGTCGTCAACACGCGGCTCTCGAGCGAACGGAGAAAACGCAGGACGCTAACCGTCGAAACGAAGGCACACCAAATCGCACCGATGAGACGACCCTGGATATGACCAAGACGTAGAGGAACGGGCGTAGCTTCCGCTTTACTGGGTTTTACCCCTGCTTCCTGGCCCCCTTCCTCCTCCTCCCTCTTCCCGCCTTGCCGTCGTCCTCCTCCTCCCCCGCTGGCGGCGCGCAGAGGGAAGCAGGGCTGAACATGAACGGTGATTTTCGTTTTCGATTCGTTTTGTCGTTCTTCCTCGTTTTGTCTTTGCTTCGCCTGCATCGCAAAACGAAACGAAGCACAAAACGGCCGACGAGATGGCCAAAGCACCGTTTAGGTCCAGCCCTGGAGGGGGGTAGGGGGAGAGGGGGTAGGGCAAGCTAGGTGCGCTCGCGTCATATCTGACGTCCTACCCCTCCCTCCCATCCCTTACCATGGCGCTGATTTTCTCTATCCGCGGACGCGTGTCGTAGCGGACCTGTGGCTCCGCGCGCGCGTGCGTAGTGGGTGGTGGTGCGTGCGTGCGTGCGTGCGTGCGTGTGTGCGTGGTTGTGGTGGTGCTGGTGCTGGTGCTGGTGCTGGTGCTGGTGCTGGTGCTGGTGCTGGTGCTGGTGCTGGTGCTGGTGCTGGTGCTGGTGCTGGTG